CACAACAACAAAAGCAAAATACTGAAAATCTTCTATCCAGTGCGCCTATGGCCTACCCCATCCTCTTTTGGGGTCGCCCATCACAATCCCCAACGGATTGAAAAGGTTTTGTCGGGAAGCTTACTTTGCATGGGCTTGCCCAGTGAGTGTTAAGGAGAGGAGGAGGGGAACAAAGATCTCCTTACTTTCTCGGGTAGTACATGTAATTTAGGTAGTGCTGACCGTGGAATCACGAGTACTGCACGGCAGGATTTGGGTCACTCGACTGCCACACAAACTCTTTTCTATCCTATGACGTTGCTACCGCCTTCACCTGAACAGAACGCCCGGTCGTTATCGCTGCATCTGGACTGACTGGTGGGCCAAATGCAGCTATAATGACCGGGCGTTCTATTCGGATGAAGACAGTAGTGGGACCATGCTCCAGTCCATAGAGTGGAGACCAAATAAACCAACAGCCAAAAAAAAAAAAAAAAAAGGGGAAAAAAATTGGCTCAAAGGGGCCCAAAACCCCACCATGATGGCAGAAGTGTGTTTTCATGGAAACTCGCTGGGTTTAGATCAGATTTTGAGCATTGTAAAGATTTTCAGGGCTGGCCAGAACGACTCATCTCCAAGGCCCCAAGAAACACCAAAACAAGCACAGGTTCGACGGCCGGCTTTAACCTCCAGGTCAGAGAAGGGGCACCCCTCGAACCTGTAAAGGCGGTACACGCGCCGTCACACGGCCCTTGACCCAAAACAAAACAGGGCCAGAACAAAAAACGAAAAAAAAAAAAAAACTAAAAAAACATTATCACCGAATGCACTTTTCAGGGTGTGGGGGAAAGTCAACCTGCGGCTGAAAAGTGGAGCTGCCCCGAAACAAAACAGGGCAAAAGAAAAAAGGAAAAAAAATTCAAAAAAGTCATCATAAAAATTGATAAAATGCACTTTTGTCAGGGTTGTGGGGGGGTGGGGAGGGGTTAACCTCGGGCTGAAAAGTGGGGTTACATGTTAAGCATTTGTGCTGCTGCCTCTTGCCTCTCCCCATTGAAATTTGCACAAGATGATATATGATAGCCTCCAAACAAACACGAAATAGACATTCGGTAGAAAAGCGAGTCTAAATTATTTAAAGGTTAATCGCAATTTTGATCCACTGCTTATCCTTGCCAAGTTCACATTTAGTATATAATTACTCTTAGCATTCACGATCATGGGCGTTGACAGTAGTGGGTACTCGCTACTACCTAACTCGCTACATACATGTGGTACTTACACTTCCTTTTCTTTTCTTTTCTTTTCTTCAAGTACAAGGTTTCCTTCGAGTGCTTTCAAAATTAGGCTCAAGTACATTTGGCACTAGGCGAAAGCATGTGGCTGGCGGAGCGGATTTGTTGATGCTTGATAGTTTTGTTGTGTCTTTCTTCCCTCTACATTTGATAGTTTTTTTGTGTCTTTCTTCCCTCTACATTTCTGATTGCATCATGATGGTTTGGAGACAGTTGTCAGATCGTGGAGGTGTGGGAGTCTACTGAGCACCACAACATATTGCGTCGCGGTTTCAATTACTAACATGTCTTCTATGAAAGAAGTTGATTCCTCAGCTTCCTCTAAAAACAGGAACACCCTCCTTTTCACATTGATCGCTGGCATGCTGGTGTAGAAGTTCATTACTAATTGCAATAATTTTCATTAAAGTTAAAAGTTTAAACCATGAAATCATGAGAAAGTTTCTGCAAGTTGTCTATATACAACTCCTAATAAAGGTACTTCCCCCTTTTTTTTTCATGTTGGGTATCTTAGAGGATTGTGTACTAAAACAAGGAGAATTTTGAAGTCGGATAAAACGAGGAGGGAGAGGATTGTGAAATAAAACAAGGAGAATTTAAAGTGGGATAAAACGAGGAGAACTTGAAGGACGCAAATTTACAACCTTATGCATAGTAGGGATGGTCGGTGGATGATATATCTCAATGTTCTTAAGATGTATGTTCTTGGCGTCCTTGCTTTCTTTCACATAAGTCGTACATAACACTCAAAAAAAAATCAACGTACACTGTTATGGGGTGAACCCGTTGGTGGATGATACATCTCAATGTTCTTATTCTTCTTGGAAAATGAATGTTCTTGGCCATCCTTGCTTTCATATAAGTCATACATTACACTCAGAAAAAATCGCCGTACGCTGTTATGGAATGAACCCAACGCAAATTTACAACCTCAAGCATTGGTCGGGATGGTTGGTGGATGATATCTCTCAATGTTCTTATTCTTCTTGCAAAATGCGCGTTCTTGGCGTTCTAGGCATTCTTGCTTTCATGTAAGTTGTACATAACACTTTTTAAAAAAATCAATTCATCGACTCAAGCGAGTAGCGAAGTTGCTTCCAGTCAATCCAATCTTCCTAGGTCAGCTAGTTGAATTACCAATTAATAATTAATTGAACATAACAAGGTGTGGCGTAGTCCGGTAGCATATCTGTCTTAGCCCTTTTGGGTAACGAGGGTCAGCGGTTCGAATCTTTGTCACCTTGAGTCAAAGCAGAGTAAATAAATTTAACATGAAAATCAATCGACCATTGTCACCTCATATTACTATGTACTGCCTACCGATCATTGCTTTGGATTATTGGGGATGGTAGGGGCAGGGGGGGTACTGTAGAGCAAGGTCATGCTCGCAATAACATACCAAATGTCCGTAATCAAATAGGGCTGTCGCAGAAATGGCGGTATTTAAGTAGGATTGTCGAAATTGTTGCACGAATGACTGTAATAAAATACTCATAAAAAATAGTAGGGTACAATATGGCAATGTAGTTATCAGTATATTGCTACATTTGTCATTTTTGAAAAAAATATTTTTTCATATGTGCTTGTTTGATAATGTCGTGGGTCAATTCAACCTTCTCGCTTACCACTGTTATTTTAATATTTGAATTTGAAACAACAATTGTAGATATCGAGTATCCATTACAATACTCGTCAATGACATTTGAAGAATTGTCTTCAATATTTTAATAACATATTGTTTTTTTGAAATTTTTTCATATTTTCGTTTTTTTTCCCTGCTGAACTAGGCTACCAGACTGGGCCCGGGCCACTTCCCCAGCCGACCCCCAAACCCCCTCCCCAACCCAAAAAAAAAAACAAAAAACAAAAAAATCTAGTTTTTTCARATTTTHATTTTWCCCCCCCCCYRRGGCAAAYSTYKTTCMGTTTTTTTTTTTTTGGGGGGGGGGGGGGTCTAAACCTTTTTCTTTTCCATTCTTTTCTTTTTGATGGCACCTTCCCTGGTCCTTGCACGGCTTTGGGAGTGAACAGAGTAGATTTGGATGTGGCAGGTCGACGATGGTGTTGTTTCTCACAAAAATCGCAGTTTCCACTTAGCGCTCTTGCGCCTTCGGCCTTCCATACTTAGGGGGCGATTTGGTTATWATTTGGAAGTCTTTAATTTAATTTAAATTCAATAGATTCCGCGACTGTATTAGTACGGAATAGATATCGTCTTGGGTTGTGTCCATTCTCAAGGCTAGAAGAGTATGCTCTTCCTAACCAAAATGCTCCGCATCACATTCACTGATTCACATCGGAAGAAACAAAAGAAACAGGCTCGAAGACCATCATCATGTCCAGGTTCCAGCCAAATCACTTATGAGTGGAAATTATTATCATGATTCCTTCAAAATTATTATCAGGTAAGTGATTTTTGCTCCCATTAAAAATTTTCACTTATTTCCCTCTTTCATTACGAGCACAAAGAAGCATCACAGCCCACCGGGCAGAAAAAAAGGGCGACAGAAAACGCATCGGGCTGCCATGCAATTTCCAAGGTGAAGACTAGAATCGGTTCCCTGACCACACAAACAATGTATCGGGCTGCCATGCAATTTCCCCATTGTGCAGCAGCCAGTGTATCGAAAGCACAGTCTTCATGTGCAAAGCCAGATTTTTCGCTGCTGCTCTATTAGACCCGACAAAATCTGGTGGCTTAAACCAAGACAAGTGTTTTCTTCACACGCACTCGTCTTCTCCGTCGATTAACTGCAGGTCATTCCAGCATTGCGCCGGCGGGGGTGGGGGGTGTGGTGCAGGTGGGGGAGCAACGTGGGGGGCGAAGTTGTACCCAAGTGTATTTGGGTGTGCGCACGTCCTGAAAAAAAAAACACATTCTGCAGCAAAGAACTGCATCCATGTTGACAGCCGAGAGACCACCTCCTCTGGAAAGTGGGAAACCTCATCTCTTCTGCAATGTGTTCACTTTCCCTGGTTTTATATGCCTTTCCCTCTGAAAAGGATGCAAATCCATCTCCTCCTTTCTTTTGGACTTGGTTTTGTGCACACTTTCTACAGTTATTCAAGACGGAAGAAGCAACAACTGCACATTTCTCCCCTTCTTCGAATTGCCGCCTCTACGACCACCTTCACCGGGACCCACCACCCTTCTTTCCCCGTCCTTCTATTTGCCTTCAGACCATCACCCCCCCCCCCCCCCCCCCCACCCCAATCATCACCAAGGGCGACGCGATACTTTCCCACAAAGAGAGTTTTCAACCGCAATGCTGCTCATCAAGCTCTTTTCTCCTCGACACCATCAGAGTGCAATCACTCGTTTGTCAGAGATTGTTAACTCTGCGCACCAATTCTTTCGTTCTGACACCAGCAATTCCATCACCTGTCATTACCAGCGAGTCTGCCTCAGAGATCTCATGTTCGGACAGCTACGAGTCTATATCCGTAATTGGACGTTCTGGAGTGGAAATTCAATACCGAAGGCAAGGCACGCATATTTTCACTGCTGCAGACAGTGTAAGTAATATATACTTACAGTCTCCACTCCAAGTTCACCTATAAATCGAACGCCCAGTTGTTATAGCTGGCTGCATTTGAAGCAACTTTTGACCTAGATACAGCGATAATGACCAGGTGCGTTATTCCGGTGAAGACAGTACGATGAGGCGAAGACAGTACGAGAAAGCATATTTTGCAACCACGTTCGGGAACGAGATTTGGAAAAATGCGGTTTGGCAACATCAACATATTGCTATGGAGTCCCAGTGACAGAGCAGAGCTTACACCGCAGCTACACTCGAATTCAAATGCCGGTTCCACACCGAACAGAGACAGAGCCGATTCGACAGGGGACTTCTTTCCACATTTCCAATTACGTTGTTTGTACATGCAATGCACCTTTGTATAGCCCAATTTACAATCCTCAGCACGACCGACAATTCATAGTTTGACTACTGTACTGTACACTAATACTGCAGCTCATCCAATCAAAAGCACTAAAATCCGCAACAGACCTGGCTGCACTAAGACAAATACCAGACAGCCTCACACACTCGCAGCAGAACAGACACAGAAGTTCCCAAACGGAATGCAGTCCAAACGCAACGGAATCTAAACGCAACACGGCCTATGCTATGGGCAATGTTTTACACAAAATCACACACAAACTTAGGTCTTCAAGAAAGAAGTCTCCCCATCACATGACCATCACTGAATGACCAACAAACAAAACGTAAGCAGCATGCTTTAGAGTCGAGGCCCATCATCTCCCCTCCTCCACAACAAACAAAATGCAGCGTGAAGTTCTCTAAAACTTGACACAGCCCAAGCGCGATGACCCGTTCAGCCCAAGCGCGCAACGACACGTACCCAAAACAGATGCGTAAAATGAGGCCATTGGCCAGCAATCAATCTCCATCGACATACCAATCCATGAATGACCTATCATACATACAACAATGCAGACTAAATGCAGACTAAACTCAACACAGCCTGGGCACGATGACACATACCCAACATCCATCTCCATGACATGCCAATCCGTGACGGACCCATCGGTAAGTACACTGCACGCTTCTTTGGTCCTGTCTCCCCATCAACAGCAGAATCCCGATTAGCGGGAACGACCAAAAGGGGCAGCGAAACGGCAAACAGTCGAGAAAGCCTTCGGCAGGGAAACTTAGGGAGGATCTTTGCGAAAAGAAAGCAGCATTCCCAGTCCTGAACCGCCCGTTGCAGCAACAACCAACGCCATCCACTTTCAGCTGTTTCACTTCTTCCTGCTGCCCTGCATAGGGACCATCACGCCCCGACATCAGCCATTAGTAGAGCTGCAAGGGGTTGTTGCCTCCTAAACATACACAAGTGCAACAGCCGATGGCTTGTGAAACGCACAAAATGGCTTAGTACCCTCTCTTTTCCTATCACCATCTCAAGAAGGCAGGGCGGAAGGCGGAAGGACGTGGAAAACCACAGCCACCTCACCACCAGAACGACAAAACACGGAGCACAGAGCCACAGCCCTTTTCATGGCTGTAAAGGCGAAGAGTTACTCTCGCTGAAATCCCACAGGAAATGGCTTCGAATCTTACACAGCCATACGTCGATCAACGACCAGATCATTTTTTTACAATACTCAGCAGGGAGTCTGTTTTCCGCTTTTCGTGAAAGGGGAGAAGCACCTAGCATCATCGTATCCGTCGGGATTTGAGCTCACCATCTGTCACTCAACACAGTTACAAAGGTGTACCGTTCAGCCACATGGGAGGGAGGGACAACAACAGTGAGTCTCGTTCACGAAGTAACACATGCAAATGAGAGGCATTTGTCAAAGAAAGCAAGGCAAGGGATAACCATATCACTAACCATCACAAGGCATGACTATATCCCTACCCCTCAGCCGTTTCAATTTATCCACCTCACTTGGCTACCACAGCTGCCCGGGCCACCCTCCTGGGGATCTAAAGGAATGGGCGAAAACCGTCAAGAGGGGCAAACTCTGTAGCCCCCACGGAGATATGTCAGAATCCGTTCTTACCTTCAAATTCGGAGCTGTCTCACCTTTCGGGGGTCTGCAGAGTATAAACAGGTTGTAATGAGACATAAAAGGGGGCTCTAAAGGGCTGTGATATCATTCATTCTTCTCATTTAGTATTATTTGTTCATTTTCGCTTACTCAATGAGGACCATCAGTCAAATGTTCTCGCACACAATACTTTCGATTGTTTTGCATCCGAGACCTTGCCCAAGGCCTTCCCCTGGACCTTGTGGACCTTGTGCGGGACGTGGCCCGCCTACGCCGCCCGGGCAGCGATGGGAGGGCCTACCTCATCACTCGTTTCCATCACACAGCTCATAGCACACTTCCATTTTTGGCATGAACACATCGACTAGCTGAGAAACGGTCGCAGACATCAAGTGACAGAAGGATCCAAGTGCTTTCGAAGAAACACTTCCAAGTAAACAGCAGTAATGCATCCAAGCGGTCAAACTGATGTAAGAAACGCTTCGCTATAACAGCAAATACATCCCAGTGCGCGATCTCACACACCTAGTGCCGATCGTAATCTTCCAGGACACAGACAATAGAGGATTCAGAATACGGCATCACTACACCGTTTGGGCAACGGGAGGATGCCCAGACGTCACAAAGATCTACAACACCTACAACTCCACCAAGGAGTTTTGAATCGCAAATGTAATCCTGCATACCAAGCAGTCGTGACGACTGCCTACCAGAGAACAGAGTACAAAGACATCTTAGTTTGAGTTATACCTCTTCCTTCACAGAACAGCCTATCTGACATAGAGTAGACAGACATCTATTGAGTTTTAGCTCCCTTCCTCTGCAGAGGTTTTACCCAATGTATCACACAAACTCCACCTCGAGAACCTGGCACACACCGTCGACCACACACACACACACACACACACACACACACACACACACACACACAGTGCTAGAGCAAAAACGAGTTACACACATCTGCCAGCATTCACAAACTGGGATAGACTTAAGAATACATCACCACCTTCATCGTCCAGCACAATGCTCGGGTAATCCAATCTCTTATCCTCCTCGTCGATTTACAACAAATTGCTGATTATAAAAATAAGAATATCAACTTTAGGTAATGTGCATCATGCACCACTACTTCCTCAATCTGATGCTCATGCATCGCACACCTATACACAGAAGAAGACGCTCAAGGCAACTCTCTCTCTCTCTCTCTCTCTCTCTCTCTCTCTCTCTCTCTCTCTCTCACACACACACACACACACACACACACACACACACACACACACACACACACACAGAAATATTGTGTCTCCCCTTCCACGCAATCTTTTCTTTCAAAATGTTTTTACAATGGTTCAAAAAAAAGTGGGCAAACTCCTACCGTTACAACACAACAGCAATGCTCGGTATTAAACATCAACCGGCACTGGCTCCCACAGAGGCCAGTCGTGGGAACACCCAAAGAGTCCGCCCTCCACTAAGGCATGTGAGGCAGGCCAACTGACATCACCAGCCGCAGCGCAAACGCCACAAAGTATTTCTTCCGCAAGAAACTCCATGCCAAATGCTATCCAGGGTTCGTCTTTGCCGCTAGATACGTTAGAGCCCGAGTATGATACAATGCCCTCAGCTTTCGATACTTGCTGATAAATTCTGTGACCTCCATCTCCCCTGCAAGCATCTGTTTGTGCAACAACTCTGACTCCTCGTCTACCTTCTCCTTGGCATCTGCTCACACATGCACATCAGCAAAAAGCCACGACAAAAAACAATAGCCACATAGAATGCCACAGCAATACATACATGGTGTCAGCAATTGACGAAGTTCCCCATCCCCTAATAAGTTATAACAAACACATTAACAGCATATGCCCGAGCTGGTAAGAGCACAAAGTCCACACTCAAGACCAGGTTCAATTGTGCAACGAGGCAAAACAGACAACAATCCATAACGCACAAAGTCCACACCCAAGACCAGGTTCAATGGAGCTCTCGACCTGATAGGAAGCAAGGGTGCCGAGTATGCAAAGAACTAACGGGGTTCACCAACAGAAGTCCCATTCAGCAAATGGCTCCGGCAGGCACTCGATGAAGTATCTCTTTCTCTTCCCTAGGCTCCATATTCGATCATCATAACCCTTATGCAGCATTGGCTGCGAGGCAGGGGACGGTGGTCAGCTACGCACCAATATTGGGCAAAAGTTCTAGCGACGGGCATTGGATGGGAACCATCCGTGCAGAGAGGGTTTGCTTAAACCACCAAGCTGATAGTCCCATTTGGGAAAACAACCTCGTCCGAGAAGTTCAGAGGTCCAGTGTAGGGTCGGTAGGAAAGAAAATATATATTTATATATATATTGTCACATCACTACAAACTAAAAGAGCGCACTTTGCAGAACAAAGAAAATAAAAGCAAAAAACGGGCACAGTAATAACATGCAAAAATAAAAAGAAAAAGAAAAACAAAAAGAAAAAACAAGGGCAGATTGAAACCATTAAATTTCTCATTCTTCTTTGAACTCCACCTCCACTGTGCCTCTCACGTGCAAGGCTCGCCACGTTGATGAAGTTGAGCGCGAGCT